TCAGTGCAGATATTTTATCTTTAATTCATACTTGTTTTGCGCCCGCATGTTCTCGGTTATCTCGGTAAAAAGTAGCCTTTGTTACTCGTAAAAAGGTAACAAACAAATAAACAAACAAAAAAAAAACAAAGAAACACACTTTTATATTTATATTAAAAGTATGGATGAAGGAATGAACTATTGTTTACTTACAAACAGCAAGGAGGATACTATAGCTGGGACAAAATCACAGTGAACTGTGAATGAATTGTGATTTATCATTCGATTTTTTCGTACGTGGGTTAGGGTTACTACTTACTCACGTTTTGTTGCCAATAAGCTGTTTTCAGATGCATAAAGACCCTATTTAACACTAAATCCCCTATTTAACAGTAAATCTAGTAAATCTTTTATTCCCTTGATAATAATTTAAAAAATACTAGATTTACAAACAAACAAACCAACACAACAAACAAACCAAACAAATTTTAAGTACACATTTCGCCTTCAAGATATATATATATATATATATCTGTAAAATTTAATAAATAATTCATGGCTTAAGTTTCACATCTATCGTAATGTAACCAATACAAAGAAAAATGTATTCAGCCTTACAGAAGATACAGTTTTGCGTAACGGCATGTTGATCAAATTAAATATTAGACAAGAACAAGCTCCTATAAGGTAGACATTGATTTTCCTTTACTATTTTACAAAGAAACACAGACTTACGTATTTACGGTGAGAATAATGTGAATTGTGGTTACAACGCTGGTGACTGACACAGGAATCCCATTTACATAAGCACAAAATCCTCTTTTCTTACCAAAATATTCGTATTAGTTTGCGTTACTTATACATTATTTTACTCGTACATACAGATTTATGAATATTAGATGGAGGTATGTGTTTTTTTCACATTCAAAGGGCAAGTTAATTTAGGTACTGGATTTAGACTGTTGTGAAAGAATGAAAATGATTCTCGCTTTCCCAGCCATTGGCAAGCAGAGGAATACTAGGGTTGTTTTTAGTTGGTAAGAGTCCAACAGACCCCTTACATCGCCCTTAGGGCGAAACACATCCATCAGGATTTTCCACCCCGTTAACAGAAAAAAACAAAAACGTACTGAATTTAGTCCGGAAAGTGGATATACTCGTAGCTTGTTGTGGATTGAAGTTCAAAATATTAAAATATTGTAACGTTTATTTCAAAGTTAGAAAGCCTTGCATCAGTACATATATGCCGATACCACTATGTCTCTTGAGTTACATGTGCTGTGGGCAGTGGTAGTCACTTACCATCAGGTACACTGTCTATTCGTATGCCCCTTATACTATTAAAGAAATCCCCTTTGAAACAATTTTCGTACTATACTTTAAAAAAAAACCTCTAAGCAATTCTCGTATTTTTGAGCAAATGTATATAAATCTACAAGGTACTTTACGAGTACATTATTACGGTACAATTTTGGTTATTGTAGCAGGTACTATAGTTGTAATTTGTAATGTTAAGTGAGTAACGCCTTTATTACTTTTTTGATACAACGCGGTTGTCATGTAATTGCCCTTTCTAGTCATTTAATAGTAAGTTATAGGTTAGGATGGAGCTGGATGCGAGAAGCCCAAAATCGATCTAAGTGGCGTGCAATGGGAGAGGCCTATGTCCAGCGGTGGACTGCGATAGGCAGATGATAATAGGTTAGGTCGTGTTATACTTGATTAATGCTTTTTATTAAGAAATCAGGATATCTTTTAACACAAAAAGAATGCAGGTTCTATTAAGTAGGTGCAGATAATTTATTGTATACTTTTAGTGATATGGCTAGGGGACTAGACGAGTGTATCTTCAGTAGTGTAGTGTAGTTTATCTTCTTCTTCGTGTTCTTCTTTTCTTCTTCTTCTTTTTTTGTAGTCGGGATGTAGGTAGATTTATTCTATTATTGCGTATTAAAGTGTATTTTGTTTGGATGTCTTAACGAATGGTATACTCCCCGGTATTTGCAGAGAAATTTGCAGATATCGAATATGTACAGGCAGCTAAGGGTTAATATTTTGTGTTTTTGTTGGTGAGTTCAAGGAGGGTGAATTTACTGACTTGCTGTAGTTTGGTGTTATTGAAGCTAAATCAAGATTTAAGAGGGCTTTTGATAGGGATGAAAAGTGATTATTTTATTAAAGTTTAATTCCAAGTTTAATTCTAAGTAGTTATTAATCCAGTTGATGATTGCACAAAGAAGGCTGTATAGTTTTTCATAGAGATATGTCATGTCATATCCTCGGATATATAGCTGTGTGTCATAACAACACTGCAGCATCCCATCTGCCAACATTCTTGGCTGATGGGATGCTGCAAACCGGAGATGTTCAATATTGAGATCGTCATGGCCGTTATGAAAACAATATTATTTTATATATTTATTATGTATATAAAATTAAATCGGAAGCTTGAACTTGCGGGCATTTATCCCTTAGAAATAGGTCCACGTTCTTCCATTTACCTTGAGCTACGGAGGTGTTTTTTACTTACAGTAGTAGTTAGAAAAAATACTAAAAAATATTCACTTCAATGAAATTACATACATATTATGCAAAAAATATACTCGAATATTGTACAGGTGAAGCCTGTTGTAGCCGTTTACATGTAATATTTAAGTATGTAATTAACTTTACTTATGTTTCTTTTACTAGCTGTTCCTTAACTTACTTGTTACTGTTACTCTGTATTCTTAATCCGTTACCACACGGACGGACCAATCAGTACAGAGCTTTTGAATTTTTGAAGCGTACACAAACCAAATTAACATTTTTCAATATCATTATTTAGATTTATACATTTGGACACCTTTTTTTTTTTTTTTTCCGTGCGGAAATCCCCTCGGATACCACCTGTCGATGGCATGTCGGACTCGAACCGACTAAAACCGCACGCCGTCTCGGGTACTAATAGCCGGGGAACCAGGTATCTACATTTAGACACCTGAAATGCTATACTAAAATACTATAATAAATTCACTACCAAATTAAAAAAAGAACCTCGAAAGAAAAAGGTATTAAAAAACAAACAAAAATTAACATACGACAGAATACAGTTGTATTGTAAAGAGATAGAATAACACTCAGAGAATCTTATCCACCATATGTGTGGCTTATAGCGAGATCTATGTCAGAAACAAAAAGGATTTTCTAGTAAAGGAAATATAAAAATTGGATCAAACTCTAAAGGAACTCTCGCTGTAAAGGCGCTAACACATGTTCAAACACGGTACGGACCGAGTCGAACTTGGTGTGATTTAGAATGATGTTTAGCCGTAAAAAAATAGGGGTTAAAGTATGAAATTGCCGTGCATAGTAAAATATACTTTGAACTTACATAAAACCTTCATGATGTGACATTTTCGTGTTAATTTTTTTTTAATATGAGGTACTTCTTTTAAGAAAAATTCAACATTCGATTTTCGACTTTCGATTGTTTTTTTTTTTATTCAGCTTAGACGTGAAAGACGGATGGTTGGTATTTTTTTTTACAAATGGAGTTTACAGCACACTATCAGTGTCTTTTAGTAGAGATAAGGTATACTGAAAAGTGTTGAATTACCTAAAACAATAAAGCATACTTAAATCGGTAGCAACAGAACACTGGAATTAATTTATAGTTAACTGGCTTAGGGCACAAAGGAAACGACATAGAAGAAAAACTGTCGTTATTTAATGTGTAAAGACGACCTAAGAATATAATCGCATTTAGGAAGTCATATTTCATCAACATCATCAACAGCCTTTAATAGTCCACTGCTAGACATAGGCCGGAGAGGCCTAGGTCTAGCAGTAGACTATTAAAGAGGCTTAGAAAGGAGGTTTTGGCTTACTATATCACACTAGCTAGACGGGTTGGTATAGGGTTTGTTTCAAGTTTTGCTTCTTTTTGCAGTGCTGGTGTCCTGCATTGTTTTGCGCCCTTGGTCAGCTCTTACGACACCCACGGGATGAATTGGGGTGGCGAAAATCCGTATTTTTAATCCATCACCACATCGAATTTCATATTTAACCTTCATATAATATTATCATATTGAAATTTAACTTATTTGTACAATGTAAATGGCCATGTTGAAAGAATAAGCGAAAAGCGAATGACTAAAAGATGTTATAAAGCACCTGGTAGCGGGTACCCGTGTGGTAATGAATAATAAAAAGTAGAAGATGAAGAATACGAAGTGTCACCACCCGATTTCTTTCCGTGCGTGTCGTAAGAGCCGACTAAGAGAGAAAACTTGAAATAAACCCTATACCAACACATCTGGCTAGCATGGTATAGTAGGCCAAAACATCCTTTCTAAGGAAAACCAGCAGTGTACTATTAAAGGCTGTTGATCGATCAAATGATTAAGCGCAGGAGCCGGTGCGGGTAGACCCTGAAAGACTGCACTGACTAGATCTGCAGTGTACTGAAGAAGGACCTCGTTAAAAACACCCGTAACCGTAACGATAAAAGGTCTGATAAATGTTGAAGAGGCATGAGTGGGACGTCAGGATCGTGGAAGATGGTCTATCGCGTGTGCCAATCCTGGACGTTAATGTAGCATAAATGTATAATAATAATATTTTTTGGACATCTGACAAACAACGCCATCTAGTTTCAAACTAATCAGAGCTTGTACTATAAAAGCTAGATTTTTTGTAAATACATACATATTATATACAGAAAACATCCGTATGTGCGTATGTAAATGTGCTTTTCTTTTTTGTATTCGCAAACAGCCATACACACGAATTTTAGAATATCTTGTACTTGTGTACGAGTATTTTTCTAAACCTTAAACGCAAACCTCAAAAAGTTTTGAAACATGCAGTCACAGAGTAACTATAAAAAGTTTATAGTTACTCTGTGACTACATACCATTTCTTTGGTTTAGTGTCATAGTTAAGAAAACGTAAATTCTGTCAAAATATTTATACGAACAGTAATCAGAAAATTTGTGAAATTGTGCGAAATTAATAATGCATGCTTATTTAAATGAGAAATGAACGTTGTTATCGTTCTAACAGTCCTTTTTGAATGTATAAATATTGCTTGTGAGTATAGTAATTCACATATGTTTACTGTGTACATGATCGTGACTATTTATTTACTTGTATATTATAGGACTACGTATTTATACTACTTTCACTCCTATTTCTCCTATAAACCAGGCACTGCTCAGGTACTTGAATATGTACCTGGATAATTAATAAAAATCAATCAAACGAACATATAGTGATATTTTTATTATGGTACTTGATATAATAATTACAGTTTGTGGTATTTTATGACATAAATATGGAATTTTTAAAAGCGAATTTGAAGCCTATCATCTTATAGAGCTTAAGAACAAAAATGCTTTAGTTGATTGATAATTTGAAACCTTTTTTGTTGCGTACCAAAAATATTTTAATGTTATTGGATATCCATTTTAGGAAAGACAATTTCTTGTTTTAGAAACTGCACTGCTACTGCAGTTTCGACTGCACGGATGGCGTAGTGGTTTAAGCGGTCAAATCGCCGCTTTCTATTGCGCTGAGTGTTGTGGGTTCCATTCCCACATTGGACAACACTTTGTGTGATCCACAAATTGATATTCTGATTCTCGGTGTTCTTTGTGTCTGTTTAATGTATGTTTGTAAAGTTGATACTGGAACATATGTCTAATGGGGGAGATGTCTAAAAAAAATACTGTTGAACATTCGTGGTTTCACTTACACCGCTACTCAAAACCATCTCTTCTACTAACCCTCTAAACACTTCTCATAGTTGATAACATGTTCAGCTACGTATATCATAACATATTAAAAAAAACTGAAATATCATTTATATGTTATTTATTTAATATAAATAACAAAATAAATATTTTAGGAGATCTTACACACAACGGCATCTTGTTTCAAACTAAGCAGAGTTTGTACTTGTAATATATATTTTTTATTTAATAAATATTTTTATAGGACTGCTAAATACAGATTTTTCGTGTTTTGTATGTTGCAATATCATTTGTTGCTATTACTCTACTTCACATTTACCAAAATAATGAAGTCCTGAAAACAATAAAATAACTTTTTCAGATTTTTATGAATATGACGAACGCAAAGTTAAAGCTTCATCGCCATCGGACGATATGGAATTTGAGCCAGTGGTGCCTATGAATAAAAATAAAGAGAAACAAACTGTTCTGAAGAACATAAATTGTGATGATTTTTCAAAATACGCACTGAATTGTACGGTTGAAGCTGCACTGATGTATAATTCCAGTAGGAAGGCCCCTCCAATGCCATCCAAAGTTTTTGACTGGTGCAGGTAAGTTTTGAAAGGTAACTGAAATCGTTGGGTGACAGAAACTGGATGTAGAAAATATAAATTTAGAAATTTTTTTACAGAGCCATCAGACATCTCACAAATTGCGCCATTGACTGGAATTCGGACTGTAAAGATGTCACAGATAGTCATTTCAACGAGGAAAGTATTCGCGGTCACATGCACGTCGTTTCAAATGTTTGTGACGACGAGTGGTTTCTGTCTAGTGAGTTTACAAGTTTCTTTTAATGACCTCTCTCGAAGTACTTAAAGCACACTGTTAACATAGCTATTTAAAAATAACTACTAACTTTAAGATTATTAAAGTCTTACTTGGATTTACTTATTGTGGGAGATTATTCGTGGGATATCCATGCTTGGGCACAAATAGGTCAGGCACGACCGGAGTAATACCACGACCTCACAGAAAACTGGTGTTAAGCAGTTTTTCAATACTTTTTATGGAGTGAGTGAGGTTGCCAAAGTCCTCCTCCAGAATTAGGGGAAGGCAGCACTCACAAGGTGGCAATGCACTTGCGACTCTTGAGTAGCAGGTGTTCATGAGTGTAGATAGTCACTTACCATCATGTGACCATGTGAAAAAATTGTTTGTTGTCCGTAAAGTGTTCATAACGTTGCATTGATAAATTTATTCAACCCAAACAATACGAAATTTAAAAAAATAGTCAAAGAAACCAATCCTAAATAATGCGTAGCTAATACCTACAATAAAATACTTTGGATCGAGCGGAGATTAGCTGTACTACATAGTAACTAATGATCCTGTATTGCACATAAAAAGTACTTCGGCTGCATATTTACATAACTCAACGTAAGTCATATTGGAGCGTCACTTTCACACGCATCACATCATACACTAAATTGAAATGACAGATATAAAATGTGACCCGGCTTTGGCAACTGTTTCATTATTTTATTAGACCAAATGACATGTGACATGTGTAAGTCATCACAAGACGGATTAAGATAACAAGTGTCACCACCCTATTCATCCCGTAGGTGTCGTAAGAGCCGACTAAGGGAGCAAACTACGTAGGACAACAGCACTGCAAAAAGAAGGAAAACTTAACACAAACCCTCTACCAACCCGTCTGGCCAGCCTGGTATAGTAGGCCAAAACCTCCTTTCTAAGGAGAGGCCTATGTCCAGCATTGGACAAATTAAGGCTGTTGATGATGATGATCAAGGAATCAACTAATTTAATGCCGTGTTTCAGAATATGACACACTACCAGTGTGCATTGATGGTGCGAAAGATGTTTGGGAAAACTGCTATTCACTTTTCAAGACATTAGTCGATGAACAAAAGAACACTACACATGAGTGGACTCATTTTGACACTCATTTTCATATGTGTTGGTTAGTACGTTAGTACAAAAATATTAAAAAGTTTTTTTAATACAACTCTCACATTAGTAATATATTCTTTGTCGCGGGGGACTTTACGAACATACATGAAACGGCATAACAAATACTAAGACTTAGAACAACTATTTGTAGATCACATAAAGTGTTGTCCCATGTGGACCCACAACAATCAGCGCAGTAGAAAGCGGCGTGGCGACCGCTTAAACCACTACGCCGTTAGTACAGTCAGTTAGCAGTTTAAATTAAGTATTCATAAATAAAATAGAGAAAACAGCTCTACAAAAATCTCTTCTATTATGTCCCAAGAATTCCTCAGCTTATATGAATTTTTATTTCACTATTCAATCTTTCCTGCTCTGGAACTGACTTCCTGAAGTAGAAAATAAAGACGACACTTAATCGGCTTTCTTTTAAAGCTAAGGTTCGTGCTCTCCTCCCTTCCTGTGAGTCATCACAAAAGTAGGAACATAAAAATATGTTTCTATAATATATACGTATACATAAATAACTATTTACGAATTAACTCTTTTTTAATATGTATATAATACTCTCGTTGGCATTTTAATGCACCTACCCTCACTCATTTCTACGTCACCCTAAGGTAGGCTGGCAGACAATGCTTTTAGCATTAGGTTCACCACTATAAACATTGTGCTTTAAGTGATAACTTAAAATACAATAAAAATTGCAATACAATCATAATATAGTAGTTTCGAAGGGCTTTGCTACCAGCGAAGCAATTTCAATTCACAACTGACCCAACAATTTAACGTGCGAAAAATAGAATTGAATCGTGTAGACAAGGCGTAGTTGACAAATGTATGACTTTTTTTCTTTTGCAGTGCACGAGCTCAATTTAGGCGCTGTACACTGGACGCACTTTTTGACATGCCTTCAATATGCAACTACGACCAAGCAGTCACGTTGCAAAAATTTTCAGTAATTGTCTCTGAAGGTGACGTTTTTCAGGTGAATTTTGTAACTTTTGCAGCTCTGGGTTTAAATGCACAATTTTTTAAATGTGTTGTATTCGCATTCTAAATTTATATTGACATGATTTAACTGTAAAGTTCTTTAAGTTTTTAACTGGTATAGCTTTTTCACACAAAACTTGCTCCTTTTTTTTCTGGGCGGAAATTCCCTCGGATACCAACCACCGGTATTTATGTCTCTGGTACCAGGGAACCAGGTGTACCCTAGGAAGGAAACCCCTGGTATCCCGACGTACCCCGGGCGATCTACGGCCTGTAGATGACCACCTCCTGTGTGGAAATCTCAGTGTTCCGTTCTACAACCTGCCGCCAACCCAGCCTGCTCCTGCCAGGGTAACAGACGGCCTCACCTGTTACCCCAGGCCTGCGCTTATGGTAGACGGAGGTCACTCTGCGACCTCCAACCCCTGAGTCGTCTGCGGTATTCGACCCGTTTCTGGGTCTGGCAGACTGGGAAAGTTCTAAAACTCCCGGTCCCGCTCCGCCGTCTCCTTTGCAAGCATAACTTGCCCACAGAAGGAGACGGCGGATTTCCAAGCGCCACTCTCACTCCGCACCATGGCCTCAATCATGGTACTAAGCGAATAGCCACCCCGATGGCCGCCACGAGGGCCCGCCTCTGCTCAACCCACACCGGGCATTCTGTCAGCGTGTGTAGCGCCCTGTCCACGGTCCGGCCATACACAAGGTTACTCCTATATTTACATAGTTTATTTAATAGAGAGTAAAATGTCTAAGCTTCATATAGCAATTGTTCATATTTCGATATAAAAATATATCATGATAAATAAATAAATATTAAAAAAGACAACTCCCGCTTAAGGAATATATCCTGTGTTGCGGGGGACTTTACAAACATACATGAAACGGACACAAAGAACACCCAAACTCAGAACAACAATTTGTGGATCACACAAAATGTCGTCCCATGTGAGGATCGAACCCACAACACTCAGCGTTTGTGAAGCGATGTGGCGACCGCTTAAACCGCACAGATGGCGTATTGCCATCTCTGCAGTTCATTTAAACGTTATTGATTAAAATAGACTATTAACTCTACCTTTATGTCTATATATTTAATGACCATTTGAAATGTAATAACATTTTGATTTTAATAAAATATGAAAAACCTCGTAACTCATTGTATACTTGAACATATTCACGCCTCTATATACGGATGTACTGAACAAATATACTAAAACAAGGTATAATTTAATCAATGCGTCAATTATTAATTAAGTTGTTATACAAAACACTTACGAATTTATATCAAACTAAAAATTAACCTGTTTGAAATGCTCCGCCCGTGTTCACACCGAATGCAAGCGGAATCTCGTTTGTTCTGCGGTTGTCAGCATTCTACAGAAATTTGAAAATTTCAAATGGCTTCAATTTTTTCTGTGAAAGTAACTAAAGGTCACGTAACACTCGTTACAACAATTTTTTAAACTTTTGCTTTTAGTATGGTTTATTGAGTTGTGGTCTGCGTATTTTTTTGGTAATTTGTCTATGTAGCAACTAACTTTAAAGTACTCCTATCATTTTATATATATTTTTTTTACCTTAATATTTATTGCAGGACTGCGATCATAACATGATGTACGGTAACTGCCCTGGCGGTGATCCTCGACCAACAAGTCACACATTACCGAAAAACGTGAAAGTTGACGGAATTCAGAAAGACAATGGAGGCACTATACTAATTCTAAGAAGCGATAGCTTGCTATTTTGTGTCGCATACTTTGTATTTATGTGCGGGTTTGTTAAATAAAGCATATTATAAATCTAAGGGTTTTTTTGAGTAAATCATCAACAGCCATTACTAGTCCACTGCTGGACATAGGCCTCTCAGAAAGGAGGGTTTGGCCTACTAGTAGTAATAGTAATAGAGTAAATAATGAAATAAAATATACATAAACTTCCACTCACTCACGCACGCACTCACTCACCGAACGGTCTGTCACAGATTTTACACTGATCAAAAAGACTAAACCAATGATCATGCTCATCATACAGCTATTTGTCTTCTACGATAGTCGAACCCATGACATCTAGGCCCAGCAGTCAAACACTAAACCCAATTTCCAAGATATCAATTATGCTTCTCCCAACGACGTGTGTAACGAGCTGGTATGATATGAGAGTAAAATATCATCAATTTAATAATATTAACTGGACATCTGAGTTTTTTAAAATGTAAGTCATTATGAACAGAAGCATAGAACCTACAGAGATATATACGAGTATAACGGGATAAGGGGGTTAAGTACTTGAATTTGAATTTGTAATAGTAGCCCATATTATCCTAATTTAGAACGTTTAACTGTAGAATTATGAAAAGCCTCCTTTATTGTAATTTTCTATTACCATATTTTGTGTCAAAACCAAAAAACAAATCAAAGAGCGTTTAAAATGTCATCCCTATTGATTTTAGGACCAAAAAGGATTTCAAGAAAGAAATCACCATCATAACATCACTTGACTTACAGTCGTTATTTTGTAATAATATCTTAACCTCACTTAACTTTATTACCATGACGTGACGTAAAGCGATTTATAAGTTTCAGTTTTTATCTATACCAAAAGATAGTGTTAAATTTTCCGTCTGCGCTATTTTCAAATGCAAATGATTTACTCTGAATACAGGCACTCAGCCAATTCTGTGAAAATTGTGTAAATAAATTTTATCAGTTCTTTCAAAATAAACAAGTACACTCAATGTTATCTTAAACCTTTCTAAGAAACTGGGCCAAAGGCATTCGGGTTTATCAATTTGACCACATCAAACCAAAGTTTTGCACTTACGAGAATAGAATTGAAAGCAGTTTTTTAAGCCGGTTCTAAGAGCCCTTAATAAGTAAGTAGGTACGTGAGAATTGTCCAAACGATGGTTCAGGGACAAATTTGGGACAAATAAGGTACACTACGGGGCAAGGGAAGCTGTTTCATGTTTTTTTTTTATTTTAGATGTTTTTTTTTGTACGTTATGGTTTGTTAAAATATGCCTCTTATGTATATTTTAATATTTCTATGTTTCATACGCAATATTGCACGAAAACAAAATTTTTAATTTATGTTTTAATTCAAGCCTTATACAGTTACAGTGCGAGACGGACTTTGTCTTGGATATTGTCTGAAAGTCTACCTTCACAAAAGTAGGTGATGCACAAAAGTTGATACACTAAACACCCAAAATGTACACACATAAGTTATCAACTAAGCGGTAATAAAAATAATAGGTTTTCAATACAATATTATTGTGTTTAAACCGCCGAACAGAGCCCACCCTACACGCCTAGGACCAACGTCGTGGCGGGGGCTGCTTAATAAGGCAGAAGTGTGTCTATGTGTGACAATGTCCGAAACAATAATATTAGATTGTACATTTTGAAAGAGTGGTTCAGAACCATTTCTTTTTTGTTTTTTATTTTCAAATCAAACTGCATCAAGCAAATAACAATAGTCTTAAAAGTACAATGGAACAAAGATGAGTGTATAAAAATGAACTAGCATTCAGTGGAGAACTTAAGAACTATTTCTCTGAAACATCTCTCTGTGAGCGATTTGCTGTGATATAATAAGCTAGACATTTTGTACAACTTAAAATTTTGAAATAAACATTCATAGTCACTGCATTGGGTTCCCTCTTTGGAGATCCTCAATCATTAATCACGGCACTAGCACGAATATCATTAAGCAACCACTCACGCTTGTCTCCCATTAATCAGCATCCAAACCATAGCCATGTTTCATATATTTGTTTGCTTTCGTAGTGGGGCTGTAGAAGCATGGATAGCAAGATAAACAAAATAACTATAAATATAATAAATATAAACTAACAAAACACTAAAAAAATATTGCATCATAGGCCACTTACTATAAATAATATAACCATTAATAAAGTAGATCAGGAGAAATATCTCGGTTTAATTTTGGACAGTCACCTAACGTGGAAACCTCACCTTAATAAAACAAAATCGAAACTTATTTCCCTCATGGGAATGTTAAAAAATGTCACAAAATGTATCACGCGTCCAATACGCTATACTATCTATAACTCTTTAATTAAACCACACCTAGATTATTTAATAGAAATCTGGGGCACAGCTGCCCTAACTAACTTGGCTCAGCTACAGATCGCACAAAATAAATTAATGAAAAGGCTTTTTAACTATAATTTCCAGACACCTTCTTTAAAAATTTTATAAAGACACCAAAATTATGAATTTATCACAAACTTATCACTACTATAATTGCATATTAGTAAGAAAAATACTCACGAAAACTATACACTCACAAATAAATTTTAGTAAAAAAACATTAACACAAAAAATTAAACTAAGGTCTGCCAATAACATAAACTTAATAAAACCTCGGACAAACTACGGGAGTAAAACTATTTTGTATCAGGGAGCAAAAATGTATAATATGCTACCAAAACTTATCAAAGAAGCAAAGAACATCAAAAGGTATAAATTTTTATTAAAAAATCATGTAATAAATAACATCAAATAAACTTATACTAGACTACGCTCCACTAATTAATTACACACTATGCATACCACATCTAGCTACCCTTGATCTTTGTACTCTGCGATAACAGAACAAGTTCTACAATATTTTAGTTTACAAAAGTATTCACACTTACCCTCGAAGTTAATTATTTATTTTTTACTTGCTTTTTATTAACTACTTAGATTTGCCGATCCATATAAATATATTGTTAATTGTATAATTATGTTCTCATGTAAGTGAATGTTATTCTTAATGAGAATAAAAGTTTCTGAAACCCGAAACACAACAATATAAACATAACTATAATAAATATAAACTGTGATCACTTAGTTAACGGTTTAAGCCTCAACGTGAACCTGTTCTGAACGAAAGCATTTGTAGAATAAAAACATTCAAAAACATTAAACATTTGACGACCGAATGGCGTAGTGGTTTGTGTAACGGACTGCTATTCCAAAGGTCGCGGGTTCGATTCCCGCTCAAGTCAAACATTTGTGTGCATGAACATTTTATGTTTGATTTGGTCCGGGTGTTTCTATGTATAATAAGTATGTATTTACAAAAAAAAAAGTATATATGTATTTATATCAGTTGCCTAGTACCCATAATATAATATAATATATATAATTTTTATTTATTTCTCACCACAACATGATAACAATTACAATAACCAAAACAATAACAAAATAGGAATCAATAGTGTGGGAGACTGGTACCTTTTTTTTTTTTTTTTTTTTTTTTCCGTGCGGAAATCCCCTCGGATACCACCTGTCGGTGGCATGTCGGACTCGAACCGACTAAAACCGCACGCCTTCGCCGGGTACTAATAGCCGGGGAACCAGGTATACCCTAGAAAGGAAGGCCCTGGTGCCCCGACATACCTCGGGTCATCTACAGACGAGTAGACGACCCCCGCCCCGTGTGGGAACCCCATGTTCCCTGTGCTCCCTGGAAGCGAGCGCGCTTCGCAACGCGCTCGCTGCCACCCCGGCCTGCTTCTGCTAGGGTGACAGATGGCCTTACCTGTCACCCCCAGGCCTGCGCTTATGGAGGACGAAGGTCGTTCTGCGACCTCCGGCGCCTGAGTCGCCTGCGCTGCCTGGCCCGTGCCCGGGCCTGGCGGGCCGGGAGAGTTCTAAACCTCTCCCGGTCCCGCTCCGCCGTCTCCTTCGCGAGCATAACTTGCTCGCAGAAGGAGACGGCAGAGTTCCACGCACTCTCGCTCCGCATGATAGCCGCAATCAGGCTATCGAGCGAGAGAACTCCCACTCCGATGGCCGCCACGAGGTCTCGCCTCTGCTCAACCCACGCCGGGCACTCTGCCAGCGTGTGGAGAGCCGTGTCCACGGTCTGGCCATCGCAGTGGTGGCACTCAGGCGTTGGCTCCTTGCGGATCAGACACAGGTGATCTCCGAAACATCCCTTCCCAGTGATCACCTGCGTCAATCGGTATGAGAGGGTCCCGTGACGCCTCTCGAGCCAATCCTCCATAACGGGTCTTACCGCCGCAATGACGGCGTGCCCGGCGCTCGGTTGCCCGAGTCGTTCCCTCCACTCCCCTATGATGACCTGGCGGAGTTGGGATTTCCGGTCATCGATTTCTCGAATCTCGGGGTATCGACCCAACTCCTGCGCCTCCTTGCGCCACTGATACAGTGCTGCAAGGGCTCTCGCCTCCAGGTCCCACGGTGGAGTTCCGGCCAGGAGACTCGCCGCCTCGAAGGAGATCGTGCGGTACCCCCTTATGATCCTGATGGCCAGCATTCGCTGCGGTCGCCGCAGTATCGCGACGTTGCTGGCCTTCAGGGCCCCCGCCCATACTGGGCACCCGTAAAGGGCCATGGACCGCACAACCCCCGAGTAGAGTCTCCGGCAGGAGTCATCGGGTCCCTTCATGTTGGGCAGCAGCCGCGCCAACGCACGCGCTGCCCCAACCAACTTGGGGACCAGACCTCGGAAATGATATCCGAAGTCCCATCGGCCATCGAGTACGAGCCCCAGATACCTGATCGAGGGCTCGATGCCGATGCGAGTGCCTCCTACCGTGAGGCTAGATCCCTCAGGCGGCTTCCTCCGAAGCCCGTGGAAGAACAGGGCCTCGGACTTGTGCAGAGCCACCTCGAGACCCAGCCGCCGGATACGCTCAACGACTTGGGCAACCCCGGCCGTGGCCCTCAGGGTTGCCTCGTGGTGCGTCTTGCCGCGCGCCGTCACGAGTGTGTCGTCCGCGTAGCACACGACGGCGACACCATCCAA